TTTTTTTTTTTTTTTTTTTTTTGAGACAGGGTCTGGCTCTGCAGTTAAGGCTGGCCTTGAGCTCACTTTGTAGCCCAGGCTGGCCTCGAACTTGCGACAATCCTCCTGCCTCAGCCTCCCGCGCGTGCTGGGATTACAGGCGTGCGCCACCACGCCCGGCTGTTTAGCATTTCTGTGGCACAGCTGTAATCTGAGCGGTGTCCTGTATGGTAGTGTCGGCTCCCCCTGGCGGGTCTCTAGGACACAGACACCCCATCCGCCCGGCTACTCTTGGGCCTCGGGCCTTCCCGTAGTACACAGCCCCGCCCCTTAGAACTTGCAAGCGCCCCCCTCTGTGCTGCCTCATTTTGGCCAATCAACGCAGGTTGAGCATAACGGAAGGCGGGTGTGGGGCGGGGCTCTGATAAGACTGGCAGCATCTTCGGTCACTAGTATGAGGAAATGCTAAGATAGACAGTAAGATAACCCAATGGACACGAAGTCCGTGGCTGGAGCGGGCCAATGCGGTCGAGAGGCGGGGTTGGGGAATTGTGTGTGGAAGGGGCTGAGGATTGTGGTCGCTGTGGCGGTGTTGGGCGCGGAGAGCCGCTGTCAGTCCTCGGTTGTAGTGTCGCCGCCGCCATGAGCTACACAGGTGGGTCCACAGGGTGGGGGTCACTTTGGGTGGAGGGTCGGGACAGGGACGTGCCGGCCCTGTGCTGGGCTCGCTCACACCGCCCCTGGCGCACGGGTCACTGCCCTCTGCGGTCACAAAATGGCGTCGTGGGCACATCGCCTCTAGGTTGCGCCCCTCACGCCCCGGCGCTTCGGCTCGCTGTGCTTGTGGATTGGCGTCCCGCTTCCTGGTCGCCTGAGGTTTTAGTTTCTGTTGCCTGTGCTCGTGGGCCCCGGAGGGTCCCGACGCTGAGGTCGTAGCGCCTTCCCCTCCGTCCCTGGCGGAGTTTCTGGGCACGGTCGCCTCGAGCCGTTGTTGCTCAGGCCGGGCCAGGCTTTTCAGGTCGTTCAGCGGGCTCTGCGGCTGTTTCCGCCGCCTGGCCTCCCCCGCGCGGCTTTCCTGCAGCCTGCGCAGCTCCCCTCGCCCCGACCTGAGAGAGGCGCCAGTCCCGCAATGTCCCTGAATACGTGAGGGGTTTGGTGTTTTTTTGTTTTTTTGGGGTTTTTTTTTCTTGTCTTTTTGAAACAGGGTCTCGCTGTGCGGTTCAGGCTGGCCTTGAGCGCACTTTGTAGCCCAGGCTGGTCTCCAACTCGCAACGATCCTCCTGCCTCAGCCTCTCGAGTGCTGGGATTACAGGCGTGCGCCACCACACCCGGCATATGTGAGGGGTTTGGGCAGAATGGGGAACCTTGGGTTCTTAGGGACTGCGCTTGACTCTTGGCGAGGAATGGCCTGCTTCCACATCGTTGTCACTCGGCGTCAGTCACATTTGCCGAGTCAGGTGCTAAATAGGCACTGGGGACGTCGACAAGAATTATTGAAGTAGTTTCTAGGTAGGGGAACACATTTGTGGGTAAATAAATGCGGACAGACGGTGATTACATGGAGATCTCTGTAAAGAGAGATCTAAGACTAGGAGTAGGGAGAGTAGAGATGGAATGGCTTGGCTCTCAGAAGATCTGCCAGGGTGGCCATGGGCTTCAAGGAAAAAGGAAGGTGGGTGGTGAGATCGAAGAGCAGAACCTCCACCCCCTTCTCCGCCCAGATACGTTTGTAAATCAACTCTGAGTGAATTGCGAAGGCTGCCTGGGTTTGCCGTGGCAGTGACTAATGAGGCTTCTCTGCCAGCGATGTAGACTGCCCCCTGTCTTCGGTGGAGGTATTTTAGGCTAGAACATACGTGGTTGCTGGGTAACCTGCGTTCTACTCAGAATGTTCAACACTGAGAATGGAACCTGAGCCTTTGGCTCCGCTGTAGGCTGCTTTATGTTAGCTCTTCCTGCTCTGGCTGCCGGGTCTGGAGCTTGCCAAGAATCCCAGTTTTTCTAGCAGTCATCTCCCTGCCCGTGGTTCTCAACAAGGGGCAAGTTTCCAGCCCAGGGGATATTTGGCATAGTCTGGAGGCCTGTTTGGTAGTCTTATCTGGGAGTTGGAGCTACTGCTGACATCTAGCGGCTAGAGGCCAGAGACGTTGCTCAACATGAAAAGTACAGCCCCAGCACATTTGGTCCCCAACATCAGTAGTGCCTGACCTGGTGGTGCACTCCTGTAAACCTGTAATCCCAACACTTGGGAGGCTGAGGCAGGAGGATCACTATGAGGTCAAGGCCAGCTTGGGCTACAAAGTGAGTTCAAGGCCAGCCTGAACTGCAATTGGGGGAAAAACCCTGTCTCAAAAAGACAAACAAACAAAAAACACGAAACATCAGTCATGACAAGGTGAAGCAGCTGTACTGGAATCTTCCTGTAGTGTTTGTAGTTAAAGTCACTAGGACTGTTCCTAACATCTCCAGAACTGAGATGTAATTCTCTTCAAGTCCTACCGAGAACTGAAGATAGTTTGGTGGTATTGAGGGAAAGACTGCTGAAGAGACCAGAAGTTGGCATGGTTGGATGTTGCAGGATAGCTTAATAATGGGGCGCTTACTTTTATAGACAAGGAAACTGAATTAATGGCCAAGCCTGAGTTTCAGGTCCAAATCCTATAGGCTGTAATTCTTGGTTTGGTGAGCATTGAGGCAGCCAAGCTGATGAAATAATGATTAGTTTTCTTCTTGATCTTGATAAACTGAAAACAACAGTAACTTTATGATGTTAGTCTTTCTTTTTTAGAAAGCAGACCGGGGATGTGGGGGTACCTCAGTGGTAGAACACTTGCTTATCATGTGAGAGGCCCTGGATTTCATACCCAGCTACCTCTCTTGCTCCCACCCTCCAAAAGAAGCAGTAGCAGACCATTATTAACCTCGAAGGCATTTAAAGTCACATTTCAGATGACTCTGCCTTAAAGACAAGTCTTGGAAGATAAAGCAAATGTAATATTGACTCATCCAGGTTTTGAGCTCAGTTCCTTTTTTGCGGGGGGGGGGGGGATACTGAGTATCAAACCCGGGGGCTCTACCACTGATGACTGCTAAGCTGTATCAGCAGTCATTGTTATTATTATTATCGTTTTAAATTTTGAGACAAGGTCTTGCTAAATTGCCCAGGTGGCACTCATACTTGTGTCCTGCTTCAGCCTCTCTTAGTACTAAAATTATAGACATGTGCCCCAATGAATGGCTTCCAGTTGCTTTCTTTATAACTGGGAGAGGAAGCTTTATTTCTAGCACTGAGGGATAGGAGATGGAAGCAGAAAAAAAACAGGGCAGACAAAAATAATCAGGCCTTCAAACAAAGGTCTGAAATGCTACCTGTCTTTTTATAGAAAGGTTTGTTATCTCAACAGTTTTATTGTAGTAGGAATGCACAGTTGGTTTAGCTGAGTGGTTCTAGCTTGGGTAACATTTAGGATATCAGTTGAGACTGTCATCTGAAAGCTTGCCTGGTGCTGTGGCCCTGCCTGCAGGGTGACTCAGACTCCTGTGTCTGGCAGATTGAGGCTGGCTGTGGTTCCTCACCATATGGATCTCTTTGTAGGGCATGGTGACTGCTTTCCCACAGATTGAATGGTCCAAGAAACAGCAAGGCAGAAGTCACTCTGTCATTTCTCCAAATCTTATTATTTCTATTATTTTGGGAGAGGATCACATTATCTCAGGAAGGAAGAATCATTGGAGGCAATGTCAGAGGTTGCTTACCACTCTACTCTTGCCTCAGATGGTAGACATTAGAGGGAACCTAACCTAATTCCATTTGTCCTCTTAATTTTTTTGAGACAGGGTTTTGCTATGCATTTCAGGCTGGCCTTGAACTAAGTTTGTAGCTGAGGCTCGCCTGGAACTCACAGTGATTCTCCTGCCTCAGCCGAGTGCTGGGATTACAGGCGTGAGCCACCACGCCCGACTATCCTCTTAACTTTTGTTACCCTATATCATTCCTTTAAATACCTATCATCCTAGCATTCTGGAAGCCTGATGCAGAAGGATCACAAGTTGAAACTCAGTTTGGGTATCAATTTAGCATGACTCTGTCTTAATACAAAAAATAAGGCCTGGGATATAGCTCAATGTGAAGACCCCGAGTTTCATTCCCAGTTCTCCCCAAAATAAAAAAATAAGATTAAAGATGATTTTGTATTTTTGAACAAAAAGAATGACAGAAAGTTTGGCTAAGAGGGAAGGATTATGCTGCAGAATTAGAAACCTAGCCGACTCTTAGACTTTATAGGACCTACCAAGACTTAACTCTTTTCACTTAGCTGATCAGGCTGGAAAACTGAACCCAGAAGAAAATACCTTAAGAATCAGATAACAGTTTATTCAGGGGGAGCGGGGAAAAAGGAAAAAAGAGTAAGTCAAAAGAATTAAGATGTCCTATGTCCTTGTACCAACTCCCCATGATGAGTGAAATCATCATGTACTGCAAACATGTACCAGTGAATACTTTTTTAAAAAGATAACAATTTATTCAGAGTACGAGCCATGACTGGCTAAGTGAAAGGCCTGCAGCCAGGCAAGGTGGCACAGGCCTGTAATCAAAGCACTTGAGAGGCTGAGGTAGGAGGACTGTAGTGAGTTCAAGGGCAGCCTGGGCTACATAATTTATTCAAGGCCAGCCTGAACTACACAGTGAGAACCTGTCTCAAAACAGCAACCCCACCTCAAAAAAACAAGAGAGAGGCCTGTGTTGTGGAATAGGGTGTTAATGGGAAAACAGTACAAGAGCAGATGTTGTCACTGACCTCTAAAGGTTTGATAGGTTTGTTGGATTCCATCCTCCCCTCTGTTTGTAGTGCTGTGTGGAACCCAGGGCCTCATGAATGCTAAGTACTCTACCCATGAACCATACCATTAGCCCTTTTGTCCTTTCAGGGAGGAACCAGGACCCCCACAACCACCACACCGAATAAACATAGATCTTCTGCCTTGCAACTTGCTTACTGCCCTTCACCATGTGGTTTGTGTGCTGAAGACTGAAGCCAGAACCTTTACAGGGAGCTACGTCTCCCGCTCTTTCACTTGTTTTTGTGAAAGGGTCTTGCTGAGTTGCCCACATCAGGCTCAAATTTACAATCTTACTGCCTCAACCTCCCAGAGTCCTGGGATTATAGGCATACACCACCATGCCTGACTTCCAGTTCGTATTTTTCTCAGAAGATAGTAGGTTTCCAGTAGCTCTTGCAGTACAGCCAGCCATCTGTATCTGGAGGTTCTAAATTCATGTATTCAACCAATAGAGGGTTGAAAATATTCAGAAAAAAGCCAGGCATGGTGGCACGTACCTCTTTTCCCAGCACTTGGGAGGGTGAGGCAGGAAGATCCTACAAGTTTGAGGCCAGCCTGGGCCACATAGTCATTTTAAGGCCAGCCTGAACTACATAGCAAAACCCTGTCTCAACCCCCTTCCCCCAAAAAAGAGGATACTGAGAAAAGAAAATTGCATCTGTACTGAACATGTACTTTTTCTTGTCATTATTCCCAAGCAAAGCAGCATAACAATTATTTATACAGTACTTACACCCTATTAAGTCTTACATGTAATCTATAGATGAAATATTCAGGAGCACGTGCAGAGGTTATATGCAGATATATGCCATTTTGTTTAAGGGATCTAAGCAGTTGTGAATTTGGCTAATCTTATGTAGGAGAGATTGTCCTAGAATCAGTCCTCAGATATCAAATGGTGACTGTGCCACATTATGTTGCCAGGTGTGGTGCATACCCATAAACCCAGTTTCTCATAAGGCTTGGGGCTGAAGGATCACTTGAACCCAGGAGTTCAAGGCCCAGCCTGGCCAAAGTAGAAAGACCTCATCTTAGAGAAAGGAAGGAAGAAAGAAAACACTGCACTATCTAAAAATCTGAGATCACTTTGGTAGCAGCTGTTTTGCAAAAGAGACATGTTTCCAGAAGTTAGTTGTGCAGACAATGGAGAGGTGTGGGTTGGTACATCTTACATTATGAGGCTTCTCTGTAAGGGAACTCTCCCCAAAGAATACTTTCAATGTTTCTTCAACACTGAAATCATCAATACTTGGAATTTCGGTATCTGAGGGAGGTCCCTGGGTCCTGGAGTATATGCTCTTTATTTAAAGAAGGTATAGGGGGCTGGGGATTTAGCTCAGCGGCAAAGCGCCTGCCTGGCAAGCGCAAGGTCATGAGTTTGGTTCCCGGTACCGGAGAAAAAAAAAAAAAAAAAAAAAAAAAGAAGGTACAGAGCACTGGATCTGTGTACCCCCCTTTCCCCAGGTCCCAGGCTCCATTCTCTCAGTGTGGAAGTAAAGATGACACTGATCCCACAATACTCCCCCTGGGGTCCAGGAAGTACCCTACAAGTAGACACAGTAGGAGGTAGGAGGTGGCTCAGTGATAGAACTAGGCTTAGCATGCTGAGGCCCTAAGTTCATCCGCACATCACAAAACAAAACCACATTAATTCTGCACCAAGCAGGATAAAGATTGTAAACGTCCTCAAAGGTCCACGTAGCAGTAGCATGAATTTTGGCACTATGTTTATGGAGACCACTATAGTTTCAGACCTTTAGGGATCTTGGAAATTGCAGGGGATCTTGCCCAGTCCCCCTCTGTTGGCTTAGGTGAGGATCAATGGAGATTAGCATCTGTGAGGGCAGCACCTGTTCACTGTTGCTGTCATTTTGCTGTGGCTTTAAGAGATAAAGCAGAGTCTGTCAACAAACATGGAAATGCCTACCCAAGGGGAAGGTACTTGGTGTATGTATGTTTTTGTAGTGAATAAGCTAACAGAGACACTCGCTTTTCACACTGAGTTTTCTCTAATGAGAAGAGGCAGATATTTACCTCTGTGAATTTCAGAATAAGACTAAATCCCTTAAAATATATCTTAAAGTATAGTTTTGGCAATTATGCAGGGGAAAGGAATAAAAAGGATGTGTATTGGAAAGGAAGAAGTCAAATGATAATTATTTAGTTGGGTATACCTGAAATCCCAGCACTCAAGACAGATGCAGGCAAATCTTCCCGAGTTGCGTACTTCCTGACAGTACTAATACTAACATATACAAAAAAACTCAAAAAGATAAGACACCCCTCATTAAAAGACTCACTATAAAATGGGCAACTGAACGGAATAAACACTTAAATACAAGTGGCTTGCTGGGCATGGTAGTGCATGCCTGTAATCCCAGCACTTAGGAGGCTGAGGCAGGAGAATCATTGTGAGTTAAAGGCCAGCCTAGGCTATAAAGTGAGCACAAGGCCAGCCTGAACTGTGTAGTGAGACCCTGTCTCAAAAACCAAAAAAATGCAAATGGCTTATGATACATGAAAAAATGTTTGACATTGCTGGCCTTTGGAGAAATGAAAATTAAAAGCACTGAAATTCTTTTAACTGCAAAAGAACGGCTAACACCAAGAAGTCAAGTAATAACAAATGCTGGTGAGGCTGTGGGGGGAAAGGAACCATTCTATATTGTTAGTAGAAATGTAAACTAGTACAACCACTATGGAAATCAGTATGGAGATTCCTCAAACTAATAATAGAAATACCATTTGACCTACGTAATGCCCTGAAAGAGGTAAAGACACATCTTACAGTGCTACACGCACACCCTTTGTTTATAGCAGCATAATTCATAATAGCTAAATCTTGGAAGCAGCCTATATGTTCATCAACAAATGGATTTTAAAATGCAGTATTTGTACACAGTGAAGTACTGCTCTGCCATAAAGGATAAATTTGAGTTATTTGTAAGAAAGTGGATGGACCATGAGACCATAATGTTAAATGAAATAAATCAGATGCATAAGCTTAAATATTGCCTGGTTTCTCTTATATGAGAAACCCAAAGTATAAATAAAGAGCAAAATAAAAGATAGATACTGTAATATGAAACAGAGATAGATTTTTTGCAAATGGGATGGGGATCAAGAGATGGAAAGGATGGGGTCATACAGTGAATGTAATCATGATATATTGCAAACTTTCTAATAAAAATAAAATATAATTTTTTATTTTTAATTCTGGGGATTGTCACCCAGAGAGCACTGAGCCACACACACACACACCCAGCCCTTTTTTTGAAATGGACTTACCGTGTTGCCCAGGCAGGCCTTGAACTTGTGTTATTCCTGCCTCGGGCTCCTGGGTATCAGGGATCACAGGTGTGTACCACTTACCCAGTTTTTTTTTTTTTTTGATGTTTGAGACAGGGTCTCGCTGTAGTTCAGGCCGTCTTTGAACTCACTATGTAGCCTAGGTTGGCTTCGGAACTTGGGGCACATCTGCCTCACCCTCCCAAGTGAGTGCTAGGATTACAGGTATGCACCACTACCACCACAAACCTGCTTGTCACCAGTCTTCAAGGGCAGTGGTTTCTGACAGAATTTTAAGCTTTTCTAGTTGGCAGTAACTCATTTTCAGCGGAGAAGCAGTTTGAGAGGTTTTGTTTTGTTTTTTGAGATAGGGTCTCGCTGTCTAGTTCAGGCTGGCCTGGGACTCGTGTCAAACCTCCTGCCGAATACTGGGATTGCAGGCATGTGCCACCACGCTAAGGTTGAGAGTTTAGATAGATAGTTAATTATACCATTACGGGTCAAGTATCCCTTATCCAAATCCTTGGAGCCAGGAATGTTTCAGATTTCAGAAATTTTTTGCTATTTGAATTTCATATACCTAGTGAAATACCCTGGAGGCCCTAAGCCTACACATGAGATTCACCCTTTTCATATGCCCTTCTGCACATGGCCTGACGGTACTTCTATGAAGTATATTTAGTGTACCTCATTTTGACAGCGAGCCATCATCCACATCAGGTACAGAATATTTACTTGTGGCTTGGTGGCATCACTTGAAAAGTTTCAGAGTTTGGGTTAGATAGTCACTCTTTTTTTTTTTTGGTACCTGAAATTGAGCTCAAGTGACCTCACTCTTGCCAGGCAGGCACTGTGTTGCTGAGGTAAATCCCCAGCCCCTAGATATTCACTGTGTATATGGTACAATGCTTTTTATTTTCATGGAAATAGCCAAACACCAAATAATTATATTTAAGAAATAATAGGTATGGGATGGATGTTGTGATACATGCCTGTCATCCTAGCACTTGGGATGCTGAGGCAGGAGGATTGCTATGAGCTCAAGGTCACTCTGCCTGGACTACATATTGTGTCCAAAGCCAGCCTGAATTATACAGAGACCTTGTCTCAAAAAACAAAACCAAGCCAGGCTTGGTGGTACACCTCTGCAATCCCCGCATTTGGGAGCCTGAGGCAGAACGATCATTGTGAGTTGGAGACCAGCCTGGGCTACAAATTGAGCTCAAGGCCAGCCTGAAATGCGTAGTGAGACCCTGTCTCAAAAAAGGACAAACAAAACGGGCACTGAAGATGTTGGTCAGAGGTAGCACTTGTTTAGTATGTGCAAAGCCCTGGGTTTATTCCCTGGTTCAACAAAATAAAAAGTAATACTTTTAAACGGGAAAAACAAAATATAAAGCAGTTTCTATTTCAGATTAGACAAGGATATATTAGATGATGTAACATCACTTCAAAACTAACTCTCATTTTTGGTTAAATGGAAGTAGTTTGCCTTACAGTGATTTGATAAAAGTATTTTCCTTATGAAATTAAATGATAATTTGGGTACTCACTTATCAAAATGGTTTATTGGTTTAAGTGTTTAGAAGTTTTTATCTAATCCTTTTGGGGTAACAAGTTAATCATAGCCTGCCATTTCATTGGTTAATATGGTCTGGAGGTCTAGTTAATCCAGAGATTTTGGTGGTTTTCCACCAAGAGGAGGCCCTGTCAGCCAGTGTACACAGAAAGACAATTTTAGTCATTTTCCTGTGGCTTGTTTGGGGAAATTAACCACCATGTGCATATGTTTAGGCTTTGTCCAGGGATCTGAAACCACTTTGCAGTCAACATACTCGGACACCAGCGCTCAGCCCACCTGTGATTATGGTAAGTGTGGGTCCCTGGTGGGAACCAGTGTTGTGTTTTCTACTGGCAAAGCAGCCCTGTGTCTTCTTGTTTGCCTTTGGCTTTGCTGTCATCCTGTCTTGCTTTACTAAACCCAAATTTGTGTTATGTGATACAGTGGGCTATTTTAATAGCTAGTGCTTCCCTTTGGGGCAGTTGTGGTAATGATACCTATGTTACTGAGCAGGCTAGGCTGTAAGTGATTGGATTCTCTGGCCCTATAACATTTTATTGAAGTACATATGGTCTTGGAGAAAAGAGCTGACTGCAGAACATCCCTCTTATGAGCCTTGGAAGGGGAATAGCCAATCAGTCTAAAGGACTGCTCCAAGAGAAACCAAGCTATTCACTCAGACCCAGCATGGTACATGTGCCTGCTATGGAAGAGAGTGTTAGTATGTGGATCTAGCTGGCTTTTCAAGACTGTAGTCAGGCCACCTCAAGCCAGCAGGCTCCACACATACAGCAGTGAAATGAAATTTTGCAATTGATTTTTCAAGTGTGGACAGACATATTTAATTCTCTGACTCAGAAGTAGCACTTATCGGATTCATAGGTGATATTCTGTTGACCTGTTGTAGCAGCTTAGAACTGCCCAGAAAGCTGGTCTCTCAGTGGTCTGTGACCCCAGATTTGGCTGCTGAGAAGAAGCCTCTTTGGAATAGTGTCTTGGTTATTGCAGCGGATAATTTGTGTTATTATTAAGGTCTTGGGAGGAACTGAGCCTACACAGCTGCTGTTCCCTCAGGAGTCACTGAATAAATGGACTTCACCAGATTCCCCAAGAATAAGCAGCTAGGCTCAGTAGAAACGTAAAATGTTTTGAAACTGGATAGTGTTACCAGGTGTTTCATAAATGAGGAGAAACTTGGTTTGAGTGAGTTCCCTATCCTGCTCTGCCAGTCTGCCCCTAAATAAATGTCCCAAATGGCACATGTTTTTGTTTGTTTGTTTTTGCAGTACTGGGGATGGAACTCTGAGCCTCAGTTGTGCTGGGAAGCCCTAAACCACTGAGCTAGCCTTCTAGACCTTGGTGCATCTTTTTTTTTTTTTTTTTTTTGGTCTTTTTGAGACAAGGTCTCACAGTGCAGTTCAGGTTGGCGTGTGCCACCATGCCCAGCTCCCTTGGCACATCTTTTTAAATTTTCATCTCTACATAGTCTGGGGTACAAACATATTTATTTATTTATTTATTTAGTGGTGTTGGGGATTGAACCCAGGGCCTTGTGCACTTAAGGCAATAGCTCTACCTCTAGGCCACGTCCCCAGCCCCAAGCATTTTAATTAGATGTGCCATTTGCATGTATTTTGTCCCAAATGGGGTTTGTCTGTACCATTTGTATCTTTTGACTCTCCCTCCCTGCCCCCAAACTAGAGATTGAGTCCAGGGCCTTCATACTGAGCTACATCCCCAGCTCTTTTTAAATTTTTTTGAGACCTGGTATAACTGAGTTGCAGAGTTGTCCAAGTTGGACTTGAATTTGAGATCCTCCTGCTTCAATCTCTCAGAGTGCTGGGATCACAGGCTTGCACCACCAGGCCCAGCTAGTACACAAGTTCTCAATTTTGATGAAGTCCCACTTACCATTCTTTTTTTTAATGGATCATGATTTGGTGTTGTGTTTAGGAATTCTGTGTTTAGCCAATGATCGCAAAGATTTTCTTCCAGTTTTCTTTTAGATGTTTTAAATTTTAGATTTTATACTTTTAGTCTGTGATCTGTTTGAGTTAGTTTTTCTCTCAGGTGTCCAGTATAGGCCAAGGGTTTTTTTGGGGTAGGGGGCTGGGACATATAGATATATAGCTGTTCTAAATCATTTGTTGTGTAGAGTGTAGTGGTGCATGCCTGTAATCCCAGCACTTGGGAGGCTGAGGCAGGAGGATTGCAGCAAGTTAGAGGCCTGCCTAGACTACAGAGTGAGTTTAAGGCCAGCCTGAATTACAGAGCAAGACCGTGACTCAAAAAACAAAAAAGAAAACAAAAAATCATTTGTTGAAAACGCTATCTTTTCCCTGTTGTTGAGAAACGAAGTGTTTCTGGGCTCTGTAATTTTCTTCAGTTGCTCTGTATGTCTGAATTTTTTCTAGTACCACACTATTAGTTGCTGGAAAGTAAGTTTTGAAATGAGTCAGTTTGAGGCCTCTGGGTTTATTCTTTCTCTAAGACATTCTGCCTCCTTTGCTTTTACATTTTCTTTTTTTTTTTTTTAGACAGGGTCTTGTTATGCAGTTCAGGTCAGCCTTGAGCTCACTTTGTAGCCCAGGCTGGCCTTGAACTCGCAACGATCCTCCTGCCTTAGCCTCAAAAGTGCTGGGATTACAGGCGTGGGCCACCACACCCGGCTGCTTTTACATTTGAAAATGTGTGCATCTTTTACTAAAATTCCTGCTTAGATTTTTGAGTAAGATAGCCCTAAATGTACACATTAGTATCAGAGATCTAACATCTTAACAGTACCAGGTCTGTTGATTCAGTGTGTTACTCCATTTATTTAGTTCTTGATTACTTTTAGTAGTGTTTTATAGGGGTTTTGTTTGTTTGTTTGTTTGTTTGGTACTGGGAATTGAACTGAGGGCTTCCCAGGCAGGCACTCTGCCTGCTGAGCTACATCCCGAGTCCTGTGATTTTTAATATACATACATATTTTTCTATACATATTTTGTTAGCTTTACAGTGAAGTATTTCATGTTATTAGTGCTATAGTTAATCATACTTTAAAAATTTTTGACCAGGGATGTAGCTCCATGGCACATCGCTTGCCTGGTAAGCGTGAAGTCCTGGGTTCCATTCCAGGTATCCCCTCCTGCCCGCCCCGCAAAAAAAAAAAAAAAACAACAAAACTTTTAGTTTTAGCAGGTCTGAGGGTATAGCTTAGTGGTAGAACAAGTGCTTAACATGCAGGGGGGCCTGGGTTCCATCCCCAGCTCCAAAAAAAAAGTCATTTTACTGTTTTTCATTGCTAATATGTAGAAATTTGATTTATATGTTGATTTTGTAATATTTGAAATTTGATTTGTATATTGACCATGTGATAAGCATTGAGCTTATTTGTTCTAGTAGCTCTTGTAGATTACAGATTATTTTTAATATAGACCATTTTTGTGAAAGAGTAGCGATTGTTCTAGCTTAAATTGGAAGGACAAGGTAACTTTTAAATATCATTTTGAAAAACACTCAACTGATACCCTATTACTTCAGTATTTAATCTTTGTTAGCATATTTTAATTAATTGAATGATTTATGGGTGGGTAGGATTGTATGTCCTATTTTGTTTGTGTTAGTACATTGCCCTGTCCTAGGTAAGGCATAATAAATTTTGCTTTTATTTATATTACATGGTATTGCATTGAGTTAGGTAGGCTGTAAAATTGAACATTGAAATTGTTCCATTTTTGGGCTATAAGTATCACTTACTCTGACCATCTCTCTCTCTCTCTCTCTCTCTCTCTTTCACTTTTTTGTCTCTCTCTCTCTTTTTTGTACCAGAAATCAAACTCAGGACCTTGCGCTTGCCAGGCAGGCACTTGTGTTGCTGAGCTATATCTCCAGCCCTTTTTTTGGTGTTTTTGAGAGCGTCCCACTATGTAGTTCAGGTCAGCTTTGAACTCAGTATGCAGTCCTCAGCCTCATAGTGATCCTTCTACCTCTCAGCCTTTCAAGTGTTGGGATTATAGGCGTGTGCCACCACTCCCAGCTATTTTTTCTTTCTTTTAAAATACTGTATCTTTAAAATACCCTTTGCCAGCCAGGCATGGTGGTGCACACCTGTAATCCTAGCACTCAGGAGGCTGGTTGTGAGTTCGAGACCAGCCTGGGCTAGAGTGGGCTCTAGGCCAGCCTGAACTGCATAGCAAGACGCTGTCTCAAAAAGACAAAAAAAAAAAGAAAAACCCTTTGTCAACCATGATCTCATTCCCTCTTATTCCATTCCTGGGAACCAAAATGAGTTAGGATATTATTTGAGAAGAGGCAGTTCTCAAGGTGGCCCCAGACAACACAACCTAGAGGCAGGCTTTCTCAAGGGACCAGGCTGGGAAGGTCATTAGGGAGTCTGGGTTGCTCTAGGAATAGCAAGTAGCACTAGTGAGTGCTTGCTCAAAGGTGTTTCTGACACCTGGTGGCTGCCTTGTCACAGGAGGTTACCTGCCTGATCTTGAAGCATAACATTGTGTTTGTAGAGTCAGTGCCTGGTCCTGCTTCCTTCCTTGTGCTTCCTCAGTCTGTTCTGGCAGATCTGCCTGGCTGTCACTTAGATGGCAGCGCCACAAGCAGAACCACAGTGGGTCTGCCTTTGCCTCTCAGTCTCATCACCTTTCTAGTAGCCAGTGTTGGGCTCGGTGGTAGAATGCTTGCCTAGCATGCACAGGGTCCTGGGTTCAGTCCCCAGCACCACACACACAATAAAAGTAGAATATCTAATGTTCTCTGTCTCAAAATAATACCCAGTATCCAGCATCCAAAAAGCCATGTGGCCAGGATCTCTTCTTGCTTAGGGGTTTCAACTCCTATCACTTGTTCCTCTCTTGTTGTATGTGCCCTCCTCCCCCAGGATTGAACCCAAAACCTGTGTGCTGAGCTACATCCCCAGTCCTCTATATTTTTTGAGATAAGGTCTTGCTAAGTTGCCCAGGTGACACTTGAACTTGCCATCCTCCTGCCTCAGCCTCCCTCAGTGCTAGGATTATCAGCATGCTCCGTGCAACTAGCTTTTTATATCTCTTTTGACAACCAGCACCACTGCTAAACAGCACCTAGGGCTGCAGTTTCTACTTGGAGATGATACTGTTGCACAGAAAGATGGTTTTGGTTTCCCTAGCTTGAGAGTACTTTTGCTTTGTGAGCTCTCCACCTACACTTTGTTAAATGTAGCACTCAGCTAGAGCACTTTGGCTCATTTCCACCCCTTCCCATTCTGCTTGTGCACTGACTTAGGGAGGAGTCCAAATGCAGGTGTCTCCCTGGCTTGTCTTCTCAGTTTCACTGCTTGTCCTCAGTGGTCTGGGTTCTGCCATTTATCATGCTGCCATCTCACCAAGCCAAGTTCCTTGCCACGGGACGCGTGTATTTTGTCTGTCTGCAGGGCAGAGATGACTTGCAATAGCAGGCAACTGTGGGATCTCAGCAGAGACACTGGGAGAGTAGTTACCTATTCTCATGCACTGTTCTGGGAAGGGTTTGTGTCTGGTTATTAGAGTTCCTATGTGGCTTTGTACCTTGTCAGTTCTTAGTGGTTTTATGCTCTTGAAGGCATGAATGCTTTTGTACCATGGGTTGTGATCAGATCCAGAGCATATTTAGTTTATAAACCAGATTGTTCTTTCAGTGGCTTTTCTCAAGCTGAGTTGCTTCTTGACCTTACCTTGATGTGCTCTTGCATAGCTTGCTCCCATGGTTCAGGAGCTTTTTGGCCCTCTCTGTTGGGGTAGACATTTTGGGGAACTTAGCCTATTTCCCTGCTCCAGATGGTTTGAATTAGGCCACATGATTTCAGTGTTGTTAGGGACCCTGCCAGGCTTCTTGCACAGCAGTCTTTGTTATTTATTTGTAGCACTGGGAATGGGACCCAGGACTTTGCATATGTTAGGCAAGCGTGCTAGGCCAAGTCTGTGAGGCACTCTAACCCATTTCCGTCTTCTCTTTAGTGCTTCCCTGGGGGCAGGGAGATCATCTTCTAATTCTAGCTCTTTGAGGGAGGAAGAGTAAAGGAGCCAAGTTTAGTAGCAAAGTGTATTGGAAACAGAAGGCTCCTTAAATGCCAGATGCTCAGGCACATGGAAGGCTGGGAAGCAGGGCAGTGAGTGGCCTGGTGTTGCATGCTGCTGTCCAGCACAAGGACCTCAGTCAGTGGGGGTTCAGTTGGCTGGAGCCAGGTAGGTACTGAGCACTAATAATGTCTTCATTTAGGAATGAATTCACCTGAGTGAAATTGATGTTACATTGGAAGTAATTGTAGATATCATTGCCCTTTCACTTTTTATAGGATATGGAACTTGGAACTCTGGGACAAACAGAGGCAAGTATCATTCCCATGAGTACTCTCTTCCTTGGGATTGAACCAGTTATGTTTCTCTGCCACTGCTCTGCTTGGCCAAGGGGAGCTTTGGGTGTTCTTGGGGCCAGCTGCTCCATCACTGGAGGTCCTCCGTGGAATGGCTTGGCCCACTCAGCCTTAGGTGGCTAGAGGCTGTAGCTGTTTTCCATGACAGAGGGCACTTTTTTCTGTGTTTGTGTCTGCCCGTCACCTCCTCCTTTCTCCCTGCCCCCACCATCTCTGTGTCTCTGTCTCCCTCACTGCAGGCTACGAGAACTATGGCTATGGCTATGGCTATGGCCAGGATAACACCAACTATGGGTATGGTATGGCCACTTCAAACTCTTGGGAAATGCCTAGCTCTGACACAAATGCAAACCCTAGTGCCTCGGGTAGCGCCAGTGCTGATTCCGTTTTATCCAGAATTAACCAGCGCTTAGATATGGTGCCGCACTTGGAGACCGACATGATGCAAGGAGGCATGTATGGCTCAGGTGGAGAAAGGTGAGTTCTTCCTCTCTCTTGGCCCTGTGCTGCTGAGCTTCTGGGATGCTCTGCTCCCCCTTCTCCTTTGTGTCGTCCATTTCCCCCAGCCTCATGGCCCACTTCTCCCTGCTTATAGAGGGATAAGAAGCTCAGTTTGGGCTGGCTTCTTATACACAAGACGGCTCCTCGAGAGCAGAGGGTTCGGCAGCCCCTCCCTTCAGGACAGCCATTCTGGGGTTAAGTCAGGGCTTTGTCACCTGCATGGAGTCAGGGCAAGACAGATTGGTTGGGCATGAAGGGTGGGATGTGCTTTTGGGGCTGACTGCTACTAGCCGGGGCATCCCCAGTGCAAGGGACAAGGCAACTGTGAACCCTTCCTAGACACTTTCCAGGCCCTATAAATGTGCGTCTTTTGAAAACATCCCTGTGAGGAACTCCTGCCATGCAGGTTTGGTAAATGGAGACACTGAGATGCAGGCAGGTCACCCTTTGCCCAAAGGCACCAAGAAAGTAAAGTGGTGGGGTCTGGCTTCCACCTAGATCTACCCCGCTGCAAAGCACCCACTGGGGGCACTGTCATTGACTGACTTGGTGCCGGTCCAGGAGTACTTGTGCCCCAGTTTGGAGAAGAGAGTGCAAGGAGGGGCCTTGGCCTTTGAGGCACAGAGGGTGTGGGCCTTGGAGGTGTGAGGTGTAGCCATGGTTAAACCAGCAATCTGTCTCATGCACACAGCCTGGCTACCTCAGCTGCTGTAGGTAGGGTTGAAGCTCTTTTCTGGCCCCTTAGTAGACTCGCGCTGTGTCTCCCGAGGAAAGCTCCTCATTTTGTCTCGCTGCTGCTGGGTGGTGAGGGTTTAGGGGTTTCCCCAGCATTGAGGGATGAGACCAGTGCAGTGTTGTCATGGGCATTATCTGCCTCAGTGGCTAAGTGCTCATTGTGCTGGGGTGCTCCGTTCAGCTCCCAAGGGTTGGCCTTGGGTGTTGTGATTACCGCAGATGGTACACAGTTCCCAAGGGCCTGGAAGTAGCCTTCCCTCCCTTGTGGAGATGTAGAGACTCACTGGGTTAGAGAGTCCCCAACAGATAGCAGTCCAAGCTGGTGCATGGCTATGTTCAAGTTTGGGGTAGTGGGAAGGTCAGCTGAGAGGCCCTTCCTGTTTCTATTTTTTTGTTGTTGTTTTTTGTGGGTTTTTTTGTTTTTTTTTCTGGTACCGGGGATTGAACTCACGACCTTGCGCTTGCTGGGCAGGTGCTGTGCCGCTGAGCTAAATCCCCAGTCCCCCTTCCTGTTTCTAGAAGTCTCTGCTTGTGAGAGGCCAGAGCCTTTTAACTGCCATTTCTGAACTTTGAGCCTCTCTGACAGGGCGGGGCGGGGCAGGGCAGGGCAGGGCAGGGCGGGGCAGGGCAGGTATTAGTCTTTACTTTCTGTCCCAAGGCTGGGAGGCTACAGGGAGAGCAGGAGCAGTCTGCTGGGCCCAAGGCTGATTGGACTCTGAGGGGCTCTGCCTGATGCTTGCCATATGTTTCTGCAGATACGACTCCTATGAGGCCTGTGACTCAAGGGCCGTTCTGAGTGAGCGCGACCTGTACCGGTCGGGCTATGACTACGGCGAGCTTGATCCTGAGATGGAAATGGCCTATGAGGGCCAATATGATGCCTACCGTGACCAGTTCCGCATGCGTGGAGGCGACACCTTTGGTCCAAGGGCTCAGGGCTGGGCCCGGGATGCCCGGAGTGGCCGGCCAATGGCATCGGGCTATGGGCGCATGTGGGAAGACCCTATGGGGGCCCGGGGCCAGTGCATGCCTGGTGCCTCCCGGCTGCCTTCCCTCTTCTCCCAGAACATCATCCCTGAGTACGGCATGTTCCAGGGCATGCGTGGTGGGGGCGCCTTCCCAGGCAGCTCCCGCTTTGGCTTTGGCTTTGGCAATGGCATGAAGCAGATGAGGAGAACTTGGAAGACCTGGACCACAGCTGACTTCCGGGTGAGTGAGGCAGCCTGCCCCTCCTGGCCCCCAGCAGGGTGGAACCATCCCCCGCTCACCTAGTTCTCTCTCTCTGACCCAGACCAAAAAGAAAAAGAGAAAGCAGAGTGGCAGTCCTGATGAGCCAGACAGCAAAGCTACCAGGACGGACTGCTCAGACAATAGTGATTCAGACAATGGTGAGCAGAGTGGCCCAGGCCTTGCCTCCTGACCCTTTGCCCTCTGCACCAATGGGTTCCTAAGCTGAGCTCATGACCTTCCCCTTGCAGATGATGGCACCGAGGGGGAAGCTGCAGATGGCCCTGAAGGCACTGACGCTATAGAGAAGGGCTCCAGAGCAGTAAGTGGCCCCCAGTGTGGATTTTGTTCTCTGCAAGTGGGGCCTGTGAAGCCCGAGCTGGGCTGAAGAGCAGGCCTCACCACAGGAGTGTTGTGTCACATGTGCTTGGTGACCACACAGGAGTCACAGGCAGTGTTTTGTCAAATGTACATGGATGGCCAGCAGTGGGTCACCAGTGTGATCTGAGGAGCCAGCACCATGGTTTCCTTAAGTGAAAATACAGGGACAAACCCTCTGAGTACGAGGTGGTGGGAGGATGCAGGCTCCTGAATCTGGCCCTTGTCATTTAGGGCCATTGTAAATAACTGTACACCTTTTAAAGTTAGATTTTAAAATTGTGTGTAGGAAGGAGAGGACGAAGAGGGAAAAGAGGATGGGAGAGAAGAAGGCAAGGAAGATTCAGAGAAGGGTGAGTCTCCTGGGGGCCCTGGGTGCCAGGTGGCTCTTTCACCTCCTCAAATGAGAGGGCTCCAGCTTTGTGGGTGGGTATGAGTGGGCAGGGGCTCTTCTTCCTCCCTGCTCCTTCCCACTGTCCCTGTGCTTCCCCTACGGAGGTTATGGGTGGTGGAGACCCCTCCCTAGCATGTTGTGTTGGTTTTGCCTTCAGGTGGAGGTAGCGAGCAAAAGTGTGGGGAAACGCAGGCACACCCCCTGCCCTTGGTCCCCGAGTAATGTACAGTTCCGAGTCCTCAGTGGCTGGTGTCTGAGCTGGGACCCTTGGTGCAGTTGTTACGGCTCTGGTTTGCATGTCCTCTCCCTTAGCGCCTCTCCAGCCCCTGTTGGGAATCCGTGTCCCCCCAACTGAGTGATGAGCGCCAGCAGGTACCTACAGTAAATCTAGCCTCAGCCCACTGTTACCGCGGTGCCCGGTGGGGGGTGGGCAGGGCCATGTGAGCAGCCTCCCTGCATCCTGCCACCTGGCCCTTCTCAACACATGCCGGTGTCCCCCACCAGCACAGCCTCTCAACACCTTGCAACCTCCCCATAGCTCACTCCACAGAGTGAAGGTGTCGTGGAGAGCGGAGGGGTTAGTGCGCGTACTCTGACTCCTGGGGCCTAGGACAAACCCACTCTTCTGCCCAGCTCAGGGCACCCAGCCTTGCTCATGGCCAGAGGCCTTGCACGGACAGCTGCTCTCAGATGGACCCTCTGGAGTTGTAGAATTGACAGGGGGTGACTCAGCCACAGGCCACAGGATTTGCCCTGTCCTGGCAGAGTCATGTGGCTGACTCGTCTCTCTCTTCCCACAGGGGCCCTGACTACCCAGGATGAGAGCAGTCAGGCCAAGCGCAAATTGCAGGCAAATAAGAAGAGCCAAGATAAGCAGAAAAAGCGGCAGCGAGACCGCATGGTGGAAAGGTAACCAGCTTCCCTCCGTCCCTGTGTATCTGCCTCGCTCTGGGGCTGCTGCCAGGAGAGCAGGGCCATAGCTCTGCCATCTCGCCGCCCTCTGGCCTCCCTTGGGAGCCGCCAGCTGCTCAGCCGTGCATGGACCCTGCTTCCCGCCAGGCCCAGCTCCCAAGGCTTGATTCATCCCCTCCCCCTCTGTGGCCGCCTGGCGACCGCTGGCATCTGTGGCCTGAGACTTGACACTGCTCGGCACTGTTGCCCAGAAGCTCCGGCGCTAGGTCACTCGGTGCACGAGCCCCGAGGTGCACTGGGGGCCTGATGCCCCTGAGGGAGGGGGCCAGCTCATCAGAGACTCAAGGTCCAAGGTGCCTGTGCCACCCCAGCTAGCTGCCAAGAGGCCGCCGCCTTGCCCAGGAGAGACGGCAGCACCTGTGGGCTGTGGCAGCCTCGGGCCTGCCCTCTGCCCTGCCCGCCGGCTGTGTCAGGCCGGGCCTGTCTGCGGCTGAGCCCTTCACGCCCCTTGGTCGGGTCTGTCTGCCCTCAGGGCTCCCGCACTGGCGCTTGCCTCCTCCTCCGCCTCAGACTCTTGCTCTTGCTGGACCTTCCTCAGCCTCGCCGGCGCCCGGCCCCTGGGCTCTCCAGACAAAGCTGACCCCGTGGCCCAGATAAGGACGTCCGGCAGAGGTAGGGACCCGCCCCGAGGCCTCGGTGGCGGCTGGCCTCCTCCGCCCCTTGCCACGGCGGCCTGCTCCAGCCCAGGCCCCAGACCCTGGGCTTCTGCTGTGGACGCCAGGCCCAGACAGAGCACCTCGCCCGGTGACTCCAGGCTGCCCTCAGGCAGGCCAGGCGGGCGCCCTCCTTCCAGCTCAGACTGGTCTCTTCTTGGAAGAGGAAGATGAGGCAGCGGGTGCCCAGGCCTGCTTGCCTCCCATCCCTCCCGACACCACCCCCAAGCATTCTGAGCAGAGGATGGGCTGGGCCTTTGAGTCCCCCAGGCCCCAGAAGGAAGATGCAGCACCTTTTTGGGCCCTGCCTCGGGACTGCGTACTCCACACTGCGCCTCAGGGCCACCTGGCTCACGCCAGGGCATCCTTCCTTCCGGTCCCCAGCTGGGCCAAGTACACATGCTCCGACCCAGCCTTGGTAGAAAGCCCCACCGGCAACCTTCCAGCGACTCCTTACCTGTTGCAGCAGCTGCTGCCTCGGGCTTCAGCCTCCTGCCTGTGGGAAGGAAGAGCTCCTTCCCTGCCCCCTTCGTTGCAGCAACTACAGCCTGCAGACTTTCTGTCCCTTTCTGCTCCCGGCCGTCCCGGTCCCAGCCTGCCCTCTGCTGGGACCGCACTTCAGAGGCCTGGGAGCAAGGCCTGTTTCAGGGCCTGCAGCTGGGTTGGGTGAGGCAGCAGCACCACTCCCCAGGACCCTGGCAGCTTCAGCTGCTTGTTTCCCTCCTGTGGCAGGATCCAGTTTGTGTGTTCTCTCTGTAAATACCGGACCTTCTACGAGGACGAGATGGCCAGCCACCTCGACAGTAAGTTCCACAAGGAGCACTTCAAGTATGTAGGCACCAAGCTCCCGAAGCAGACAGCCGACTTTCTGCAGGTGAGCCTCAGCGTGGCACAGCTGCTCTGGGTTGAGGACCTCAGAGACGCAGTGCAGCCCCCATGAACCTCCATGTCTTGAGCAGGAGTACGTCACCAACAAGACCAAGAAGACAGAGGAACTCCGTAAAACCGTGGAGGATCTTGATGGTCTGATCCAGCAGATCTACAGAGACCAGGATCTGACCCAAGGTGAGGGCTTCCATCCCAGCGCCCACCAGGCAGGACCTCAGATTGCCCTCTACTCCTCAGGGCACATTCAGGAGCTGGTCTTGTTTTTCCCCTAAACCTCTGGGCATGTTTTAGGCATCTGAGACCAGTGGTGATTCCTTCTCCCCCATCTCCAGAAATTGCCATGGAGCATTTTGTGAAGAAGGTGGAGGCGGCCCATTGTGCTGCCTGTGATCTCTTCATTCCCATGCAGTTTGGGATCATCCAGAAGCACCTCAAGACCATGGATCACAACCGGAATCGCAGGGTGAGTGGCCACAACGACCCTCCTCCTGTGAGGCCTCTGGATAGGTCTTAGAGTTATCACCTCTGCCTGTCCAGGAGAAACTGCAGGAGCAGGAGGGACAGTGACGTGGGCCTTCCAGCCCAGCGCAATCAGGATGGCCACACAGAGAGGCCTGGGAGATGGGGGCTTTGCCTGGGAGAAGGTAATACTGAGCTGGACCTCTAGGAGCATGTACCATGGGATACGAGGACCTCCATCTATGTAGAGGCCAGTAACCAGATGAGTGTCAAAAAAACAGAAGCAGATTAAAAGCTGGGTGGTGGAACACACCTGTAATCCCTCCCTCCGGAGGCTGAGGCAGGATCACCTGGGCTATGTAGTGAGTTCAAGGCCAGCCTGAATTACATAGTGAGACCCTGTCTCAAAAAAACAAAAGTAAATTTGAAAAGAAAAAACAAACGGAGCCTGTTGGCACACGCCTATAATCCCAGTATTCGGGAGGCCAAGGCAGGACGATCACTGCGAGTTTGAGACCAACCTGGGCTACAAAGTGAGCTCAAGGCCAGCCTGAACTACATAGCGAAACCCTGTCTCAAAAAGACCAAAAAGAAAAGAAAAAACGGAAGCAGGCAATGCCAATGTTGGTGGAGGAAGGGTTGGACTTCAGATGTTGGTTGATGAGGGCCGTACTGAGGGTTCCAGGCTTGCTTCTTTAGGTTATCAAGCAAGATTGGAGTTGCCATTGACTGAGAGAGACTTTGCCACCTGCTGTAGAGCAAGGTGGGCGCCAGTGATGGCTGCTGCAGTCTCGTGATAAGTAGTGCCTCCACCTTGAGAGTGGAGAGGAGGCAGCTAAGAAGGAAGAAGGTAGGAGGTGGTCCTGTGTGTGTGACCAGGAACTGGGGTAACTGTTTCCAGACTCTGGGAACTGAATGGATAGTGCTGCTGCTAAGAGCATGGGCAGGAGTAGTCTGGGGGGCAGGAGTAGTCTGGGGTGCAGGGAAAAAAGCATGCTTGTCAGGAAAATGAGTGTGTTGTCTTGTTTTCTGGCATGTTCTTGGTGTTCAGCACTGAGGTCAGAGTGGCTGGTTTTTGATTAAACAGGTGCCATGATGGGTTGGAGGTGGTTCTTAGACATTAAGCAAGGTGGAGGACTAGGACCAGGCCTGGGCTAAGGGGCAGAAAAGGCCTGTGGGAATGATGTGCACCCAAGTGAGTAGGTTGAGCAGCATCTCTCAAGCTTTTCCTATGCCCATCACAACTCAGCTTTTTCAGTGCAGTGATCTCGGGGGAAGAGGGAAGGGTCAGGGGTGTGACTTGAGCAGTCACAGATTCAGGCCTAGCAGATGCCACTGAGCGGTCTGGAAAGATTAGAAACGCGTCCACTGGCTTTGGCAACAGAGAAGCTATAGAGATCCTGCCGAGGACAGACTCTTGGGTTGGCAGCTGATAGGGGTAAGGAGAGAAAGACTGTGGAGAGTACATGACATTAATAGAATTTTTGGAAGGTCTAGGGCAAATGAACAATAGGTAGTAAAATATGAACTCAAAATTGATCGTAAAAGAAGTAAAGAAAGAGTAAGACAGAAAACAAAGTCATAACAACAACTATCATATGTTTGGAAGATGATGAAAGATATTTAGAAGGCACAAGGAGTAGTTGGTTTAGAGATGCTTGTGATGCAATTTAGGGTTTTGTTTTGTTTTGTTTTTTGCGTGTGAAGAATCGAACTCAGGGCCTTGCACTTGCCAGGCAGGTGCTTGTGCCACTGAGCTATATTCCTGGCCTTATGATACAATTTAAATACTACATTTTTAAAGATTCTGGGTTATAGAAATGAATGGAAAGCTTGCAGTTACTAACTTTCGGTAATCTGTTATTACCACTTTCCCTTTGGTCAACGTACTACCCAACACGCATAAGTTGCAGGAGCAGAGGTTTAATTTAGCTTACTCGACTCATGGTCAGCAGGCTCCCAGGCCAAAACCTCATGGTAGAAGCAACAGAGCTACTCTTGGGGAAGCAGAGCATGGAAGCATTTTAGAGAGGCAGGGCCAGGGACCACAGATAGCACACAAGCCCCACCTCCGCAACCCCCACCCAGACCTAACCGGGAGTGTTCTCAACTGATCTGCTAGGGTTTTCTTAACCCTGTGAAGTTGACATACCAGGATTAACAGTTATACCCACTTACGCATACGGTTTAATAGTTTTTAGTTTGTACACAATTTTGTCAGTCATGTTCAATTATGGAACGTTTTCATCTCCTCAGAAAAGAAGGCCATATCCCCAGCCTCCCATCCTCACCCAGCCTTAGGCAGCCAGCAGTCTACTATTTGCTTATTCTAGACATTTCATATAAGTGGAATCACATAATCCATGGTCTTCTGTGGTTGATGTCTTTGAGTGAACACACTGTTTTCAGGGTCCATCTGCATTGCAGTATGTGTCAGAACTTCATTCCTTTGTATGGCCTAATAATACCCTCTTATTAGGTAAATGCAACCTTTGGTTTATCCATTCATCTGTTTGAGTAATTTCAGTTGTTCATACCTTTTGACTATTGTGAGTAATCCTTTTAAGAACGTGGATGTGCAAGTTGTTTGATTTCTTTTGGTTATGTACCTAGGAATGGACTGTTAGAATTAAATAGTAACTGTGACTTTTTGAGGAGCAACCAGACTGTTTCCCAAAGTGGCTGCACTATTTTACATTCCCATCAGCAGTGTGTGAGTGTTATGATTTCTCTACTCTTCACCAATTTTCATCTAGCCATCATGGTGTGTGGGAAGTGGTGTGTTGTGGTTGTGGTTTCGATTGTGGTATTTCCCTGATGACTAGTGACTGTTTTCATAGGCCTGTTGGCCATTTGCATATTATTAGAGAAAAATAATTAGGGGGACAGTACTGGGGATTGAACCCAGGACCTTGCTCGTGCTAGGGAAGGTTTTCTACCACTGAGCTAATCTTTAGCCCAGAGTTTTTTATAAATTCTAGACATGGGTCCTTCTTTGAATGATACACAACTATTTTGTCTGCTGTGGGTTTTTATCACTTTGTTGGTGTGTCCTTTGGTATAGAAAAGTTTAATTCTGATAAAGTAATTTGAGTTTTGTTTGATTGGTCGGCCTGCCTGCCTGCCTTTTTCTTTCTTCTCTCTTCTCTCTTCTCTCTTCTCTCTTCTCTCCCCGTTCCCCGTTCCCTGCTCCCCTCTTCCCTCTTCCCTCTTCTCTCTTTTCCCTTTCCCTTCACCCATCTCCCCTCTCCCCTCTCCCTTTCCCTCCTCTCTTCATTTATTTTTGGGTGCTAGGGATTTAACCCAGTGATTGTGCACGCTAGGCAAGCGCTGTACCTCTGAGCTACATCCCAGTCCCTAGTCTCCAGTTTGATGAGAGGTACACTTTTAACTTTACTAGTTTTCTTTGGTAAGTGATGATTTATTTCTCCTTGCTGCTTTCACTTGAGTTTTTTTCCTATTCCTGAAGTTTTGGCATTTTTATTATGATATATATTTTTGTGGAATTATGTTTATTCTCTGTGGAATTGATTGAGCTTCTTTGATATATAGATTTTCATTAGTGTTTTGTTTTGTTTTGTTTCTTTTTCTCTTTTTGAGACAGGGTCTCGCTATGCAGTTCAGGCTGGCTTTGAGTTTACTTTGTAGCCCAGGCTGGTCTCAAACTCACAATGATCCTCCTGCCTCAGCCTCCCGAGTGCTGGGATTATTGGCTGCTGGGATTATAGGCGTGCGCCACCACACCTGGCTCGATTTTCATTAATTTTGAGAAAGCTTTCAGCCATTATTTTTTTAACAGTACTGGGGATTGAATTGAGGTCCTATATTTTTTATTTTGAGACAGGATCTCCCTACGTCACTAAGTTACCTGGGCTGGGCTCACACTGTGATGCTCTTGGCTTTAGCCTCCCAGAGTGCTGGGATGGCAGGCATGTCTTACCATGTCAGGCCAGCCGTTTTTTGGCTTTTTTTTTTTTTTTTTCTTTTTCTCTGTAAATATTTTTTCCTCTTCCTTTCTCTTCTCTTCTGTTCCCATTACACATAGGTTGGGTTACTTAATGTTGTCCCACTGTTGTCTGAGGCTGTTCATTTTCCTTCACTCTTCTCTCTGCTTTTCACATTGTGTAATGTCCTAGCTGCAGATTCACTAATTCTTTAGTTCAAATCTGCTGTTAAGCCTTTCTAGTGAAGTTTTTGTTCAGTTGTCAGCTCCAAGATTTCCATTTTATTTTTATTATAATTTTTCTTTGTTGATAATGTCTATTTGAAGAGAAGGTGTCATTCTGCCTTTTACTTTTCCATGTACTTAATTCTTTAAACATGTTTTTAACTGCTGCTTTGAAGTTTTTGTCACATTTTTCCCCCCCCTCAGTGCTGGGAATCTGACACGTAGTAGTCAGTTCACTCTGCCCCTGAGCTGTATGTTGGGTTGAAGTCTTTGCTGTATTCAGTGCTATTTTTTCTGTGTGGGAATAAAAGTCTTGTATGTGTCCTAATTTTTTGTTGGGAACTAGGTGTCTTAGAGAACATATTGTCACACTCTGGGCACTGGCCACACCCTCCTATACCCAGCGTCTTGTTAACTGTGTCTGTTTGTGCATTAGTTTAGTTTTTTGTTTTTTTTTTTTGGTTTTGGTTTTTCTCCGTTACCGGGAACCGAACTCACGACCTTGCGCTTGCCAGGCAGGCGCTTTGCTGCTGAGCTAAATCCCCAGCCCCTGTGCATTAGTTTAGAGCATGGCCAGATTCTTTTGCAAGGTCTCTTAGCCAGGTCTGTTTGAGTGAGGTCTCTGAGGTCTTTCCTTCCCCATAGTGTGAGAGAAGCTCTGGTGATGTGCCCTGGAGGAGGAAGCCAGGGTCCTGAGAAGCGGAGTTGAGATGGCTAGGAGCTATTCAGGGTGTGCTTAGCAGGGCTCTGACTTTTTCTGGCTGATGGCTCTAGTCTCAGTAGTGCCCTGGGGCATAAATTGCTCACTAATTTAATCCAGTTAAATTCAGGCTTCT